GGGCGGAATGCAGGACAGAAATATAAGTTAAATAAAATGGAATCGCTGACACACCTGATAGCACCGCATCTTCAAGAACTTCTGCTATTTGTCCATGGGTAAGTCTAAAGTTTACCTGCGAGAGATGAGTCCGTGGAAATACCTAGAAAGACTTACTGTATTTTTTTCAGCCAACTTTGTCTCTCTTCAAAATATATAGTATAATATACTATATAGTATTATATTTATTATATTATATTATATGATATATTATATTATATTATATTATATATATTTGAGACAGAATCTTGCTCTGTCGCCCAGGCTGGAGTGGAGTGGAGAGATCTTGGCTCACTGCGACCTCTGCCTCCTGGGTTCAAGCGATTCTCCAGCCTCAACCTCCCGAGTAGCTGGAATTACAGACGTGCACCACCACGCCCGGCTAATTTTTGTATTTGTAGTTGAGACAGGGTTTCACCATGTTGGCCAGGCTGCTCTCAAACTCCTGAACTCAGGTGATCCGCCCGCCTCGGTTTCCTGAAGTGCTGAGATTACAGGCATGAGCCACCGCGCCTGACCTCTTCAAATATATAATATTCTGTAGCATATTGTGTAATGTAAAAATCTAAGATTAATACAACAGTAAGAGAAGATGGTCTCAGTCTTTATGTGGACTACATGCTAATAAAGTTTGCATTTAGAGGCAGTTAAACAGGATCAGAAGTTCTCATGAGAACCTCTTCACCCAGATATTATTATCTTTATCTGTGAGTCCTACAGGAAGCCGAAGTGCCAGAAAGCTGTAAATCAGAGATGACAAGCTAATTTGAGGGAGAGAACTCCATACTACCCAAAGTATCTATGTTTGGAACTAGGGATAGAAATGCAGGAAATTTGGGGCTTCTTTCTTTGGGAAAAAATGGATATATTTTATGTAAGTATGGATACTTTTTAAAAGTAAGAGGACTGCTGAATAGAAGTCCTCAGAAGCCAGAGTTGTAGATTGTGGCAGATAGTGGCTGATTTGGGATGTGGCATTTATTCCACATTGTTTAGCACCTTGTTTTTGCCAGGGGAGCCATTTCTCTATTAAATAGTGATATATCTCTTTTTTTGTTTTTTGTTTTTTGTTTTTTAGACGGAGTCTTGCTCTGTCGCCTAGGCTGGAGTGCAGTGGCGTGATCTCGGCTCACTGCAACCTCTACCTCTTGGGTTCAAGTGGCCAAAACAGCTATATACTTTGGAGCAGCTGACTCTGCTGACTCCAGTGATGAGAAATGTGGCTCAGGGCTAGGTTGACCAATATAATCCTATTCTCTGAGCAAAATTTAGTACAGGAATCTTTTCCTACATCTCACCATATGGCAAAGTCTTAAGCCTGGGATATTTGGTATGTTTATGTGATATAAAGCATAGTTCTTGTATCATTTTACCTCTTTGTAAATTGACCAAGAAGATGGATCAGGTAGAAGAGGTTTTAAAAAAAAAAATCAATATTTGTGTATATTCAGATAATTTTGCTCATGCACCAAAAGTCAAATAGGGCATTTTATGATTTTCAAAAATAAATAAATAACTAAAAGGTCTCTTTTTAAATTGCTTCTTGCAGAGCAATTACTTTGAAGCCTTAGGTTAATTAGCTATCACCCATTTCTATTAGTTTTCTGCCTGAACAGCTTCCAATTTGAACTTCATAACTAAAGGCAAGCATGAATCCCTTCAGCTACAATCTGATCTATGGGCTGTTTTATATACTCTCAAGCCCCATAACCCTGATAGTTTTAGAAAAAGAACATATGTCTTAAAATAACATGCTCAGCTTTGTCCACTCATTCTTCAAAGGCCTGCTGATTCATGCATTTCAAGTACTTTTATTTTTAGACAAATTAGGAATTACACCTATATTTAAACTTCCTTATCTGTATTCTTCTTTTTATTTTTGTTTTTGTTTATCATGAAGTTAGATTAAACATAGCATTATTCTCTATAATAAAGTACATTTTTTCCAAAAAGGAGGTTTACATTTTTCATTTTAAAAATTTGAAAATCAGAAGTAAGCATTATAAAGCAAGATATCTTTCCTCATTCATTTATGCTTCACAGGGCTGGTCATTTTTAACAGCGCAGTGCTTATCTTACTAGGCCTTTCCTAGGCACAAGCAGATATGCATTTATATTATTTTTCAAATGATGTCAGTCATATTATGCATATTTTTCTGAATTGTTGTATCTATTTTAAAAAATCACCGGCATTATTCTGGGTACAGATGTAGACTTCTACTACATTCTTCTTTGAAAGACTTTATAGCTACACAGCATGTAGTATGCCTATAGTATGCCTATAGTATAATTTATTTTACCATTCTCCTAATGATAACTTCATTTTTATGGTTACAAAGGTCTAATGAACAACTTTGTAAAAACAGTTTTGTATACATATCCTTGTACAAAGTATATATCCTTTGTGCACAAAAGGCATATATCTTTGTGTACTTGCTGGATACCTCCTGAGATGGAATCCCAGAAATGGGGATGCTGAAAATTTATGTAGATACAGTGAAACCATACTTAATACATATGAAAATTTATGTTTCTGGCACCATTGTATGAAGTGTCTTTCACCCTCAACCGTAATTCTGTCAACACTAGACATTTTTGAAAGGCAAATTTTGTTTTTCATTTTTGCTTTTTAAGAAATTTTATCATGTTTATTTGAAGTTTACAACTTGATGTTGTGGAATACACACAGAGAGTAAAGTGGTTACCATCGTGAAATAGATTAATGTAGCTATCATGTCACATAGTTACTTTTTTGTGTGACAAGAGCAGCTAAAATATACTTATTTAACAAAAATTCTTACTACAATACAGTTTCATTAACTTTAGTCCTAATGTTGTACATTAGGCCTCTAAACTTTTTCATCTTACATATCAGCTCTATGACCTACAGCTCCCCACCTTCTCTTCCCCTTACTCCTGCTCATCCACGGAAATCACTGTTTCATTGCCTATCCGAGTGTACTAAGATTTTTCTTTTTTTTCTTTTTTCTTTTTTTTTTTTGAGATGGAGTTTTGCTCTTGTTGCCCAGGCTGGAGTGCAATGGTGCAATCTCGGCTCACCACAACCTCCGCCTCCCAGGTTCGAGCAATTCTCCTGCTTCAGCCTCCCTAGTAGCTGGGATTACAGGCACGTGCCACCACATGCAGCTAATTTTGTATTTTTAGTAGAGAATGGGTTTTTCCATGTTGGTCAGGCTGGTCTTGAACTCCTGACCTCAGGTGATCCACCCGCTTATAGTATTTTTATTTGTGTGTCTGGCTTATTTCACATAGCATAATGTCCACTAAGTCCATCCAGGTTGTAGCACATGGTGGGATTTCCCTTTTTAAGGCTGAATAAGATTTGTGTGTGTGCGTGTGTGTCTGTGTCTGTGTGTGTGTGTATAAAATATATTCCATTGTGTATATATAAAAAGGGATATATATCCCCTTTTTAAGGCTGAATAAGATTCCATTTTGTGTGTGTGTATGTATATACACACATTTCATTTTCTTTATCAATGTATCTCTCAATGTATATCTAGATTGTTTCCACATTTTGACTATTGTGGATAATGCTGCAAAAAACTTGGGAGTGCAGATATTTTTATACGGTGGTTATTGTATCTCATTTTGGTATATACCTGGAAGAGGAGTTGCTGTGTCATATAGTGATTCTATTAATATGATATGTTTAATTTGTTTAGGAACCTCCATACTGTTTTTTCATAATGGCTGTGCTAATCTACATTCCCACCAATAGTGTACTAGGGTTTCCTTTTCTCCACATCCCTGATAACACTTGTTATTTCTTGTCTTTTTGATAATAATCATACTTATGGACATAAGGCAATATCTTATAGTGGTTTAAATTTGCATTTCTCAAAAGATTAATGATGGTGAGCATCTCTTCATATACCTTTTTGCCATTTTTATATCTTGTTTGGAGAAATGTCTGTTCGGGTCTTTTGCCCATTTTTAAAATCAGGTTACTGTTTTTTCTGCTATTGAGTTATAAGAATTCTTTATAATTCTGGATATATTAACCCCTTAACAAAAATGTGGTTTGAAAATATTTTTTCATAGTCCATAAGTTGCCTATTATTTTGTTGATTGTTTCCTTTATTGTTCTGAATGTTTTTAGTTTAATGTTGTTCTGTTTGTTTGCTTTTGCTTTTGTAGTTTGAGCTTTTTGGAGTGATATCAAAATTAATTGTCAAAGCCAATGTCAAGAGGCTAAAAGGCAAATTTTGCAA